AAAGATTTCATTAGTTTGCTCCCACACAGAACATACAGTGTAAAATACTGCTTAAGTACTAGCTATAGCATTAATTCACATTGGACAACACATTAAGGACAGATCCCACATGAGTAGTAAGAACACAGTGACTCCTGTTGTTGACTTAACAATTTGACACTCTTGTTTATGGTGTCAGTGATCTCCCTAGGCTCTAGTCATGAGTTGCCAAGGCTATCGAAGCCAATTGAGTTCACTGACTTTGATCTTTCTCCGATAGGGTCATAGTCAAAGTGGAAGTTCTCTCCTCCCTTCAGAGAAAGGTACCTCCTTCTTTGATGACCCATTCTTTCCACTGGGATCTCACTTGCAGAGATCTTTCATTTCGGTTTCTTTTTTTGTTTGTTTGTTTGTTTGCCAGAGTTTCTTGGTTTTCCATGCCGAAAAAAATCTCATGGGCTCTTCAGCCAGATCCGAATGCCTTAAGGGCTGATTCTGAGGCAGTGCTGTTTAGGACATCCGCCATTCTATGAGTCTACGGTGTATCCTACTTCCCATGTTGGATCGTTCTCTCCCTTTTTTATTCTATCAGTTAGTATTCGCAGACACTAGTCTTGTTTGTGTGATCCCTTTGACTCTTAGACCCATCAGTGTGATCAACTTGGACTAGTGAGATGGCATTGATACATGCAACCTTGATGAGATTGTATTGGAATCCCCTGGCACATTTCTAACTCCACCATTTGGGGCTAGTCGGATTGAGCATGTCCCAAATTTTACATCTCCTCCCTCTCTTATTCCCACTCTTATGTTTAACAGGGATCACTTTTCAGTTAAATTTCAACACCTAAGAATAATTGTGTGTTAATTACAGAGTTCAACCAATAGTACTAGAACCAAAAAAAAAAAAAAAAAAACAAAACAAAAAAAAAAAAAGGAGTACCTATGTTCTAAGCTAGAATTACGAACTGCTTGAGTTAATATTTAGAACAGTTGACTTCTGGATGGTTTACATAGCTATTATTATTATTAACATAAAAAACACTTGCATGACTATTTAATAGATCTTCACACATACACTGAAACTGGCTGCCTTGAGCTCTCCTATATGAAGCTGAGCTGCATCTTTTCTCTCTCCCAAGACTAGATCAGAAACAAAGTAGTGGCCCCTGTTAAGGGTCCCAGCTGCAGATCCGGCAGCAAGAGGAGTGGCAGGGGCCAAGCAACTCAGCGTCACGAGGCTCTGGGTGTCCTGCAGGCCCACTGCAGACATGCTGGCAAGGAAGGTCAGCTCTGTTGAAGGGCAGTGACGGACAAGCCGCAGCCCAGCTCAGGGAGGCTGTGAGCTACACCTTCTCCTGCCAACATGGGAAGGAAGTCAGCCAGGATGGAAAAGTCATCAGACAAAAGAGT